TCCTGGCTCAAACGTTTCAAATGAGTTTCATTTAATCTTTTACAATTTATTTGTTTCTTTTTAGTCTGCAGCATTTGCATTTCGAGAATGTTTCATTTTTAAATTCAAACTTTTCTAAATTGTGAAACGTAATATTTTGACTCTAAAAAAAAAATATTTTCCCTGTGACGGAGCTCATTAATATTACAAAAGTGCCCAAAATAAAAGTGTTTATAACACTGTGTGAAGCAAATAAATATCTGCCACTTTGTTTTTAAAAATATATGTTGTTTATTGTGTGGGTGTAAATGTGCTTTGGTCAATTCCCATTATTATGTAAATGATATGCAAATGATACGCAAATTAGGCCGCCACAGTGGTTTAAATTCCTGGGGAGAACACTGTCAAATGCATCGATTTTCACTTTGTAAGCATATAATGTTACGGTAATTATTAAAATTATACATTCATTTATCAATGGTTGAATTGGTGAAGGAAAATTTGGGTGACTCGATTAATAAGTACTTTATACTGCAAAAGTGCCCTCAGTGTTTGAAGAATCCAGAGTTTGCAATTTGAAGTAATTTTGAATTAAAAAAGACAAATTTCACAATTCTACTCTCACATTCAGTCTTCTAAAATTCCTGTCAAGTATTTCAGTCAATGCAGTTGTATTCATGAAATTAGTAAAGGCTGCGTAGACAGATATATACTATATACAGAAAATGGTCATGGTTAGTGCTAGTGTCTTGGCAAGTCCCACTTATAAAATTTTAAGAAATTGAAATTTGACCCTCGATAACTTTATCAGAGATTGGACACCAGCTTTACCTCTTCAATAATTGGGGTGCGGGAAGCAAAATATGCAATCACTGAATGGTATTAGGTAATTGTAGTCCCTAGTAGTTATTCTATATATAACCAGACGTTTCTTCAATGACAGATATGAATAGTTTGTCAAAAACATCTCATTATTATTATATACTAATTACCTAGGACTACTGTAAAACATGTCTTTTTCGCGAGCATGTCTTTTTAGCAAATTTAGCGAGAGAACTAATTCGCTAAGATGTCGCTGATGACATAATAAATTTAAAATGGCCGCCAAACAACGTCTTTTTCTCCACACACTTTGTAAACAACACAGGAAACGTAATAATCTGGAGCACTTCCTTAAAATAAACAAGACAAGAGGGATTCGCTTAAATCAACATTTCTAATACGTCATTTAACCCAATTTGCTAAAATAGTATGTAGCTATTTCAACATGTTTTACAGTATGTTTACCTACTACCACTTTCAGTTGTACTTATGCATTGGTGTATTTTAACAGTTTTTTTTTATCTAAGTATAAAGCAGTTGTGTTAATAATTTGCTGTTCATCCATGTATTCATCATATACCTGGTACTCCTTAAGAAGCTGAGGAAATTAAAAAATGTGAAGATACTAGAATTCATTTCAACTGGAGCACGTATAGGATCAAAGCAATACTCTACTAAGCAGACCCTTCAATCGATCATTTCACACATCAAGGCCATTGTTTTGTTCGTTTATTCAGCAAGTTAGTTTTCTTGGTACATTGTACCGATATAGGTTGTCATGTCAACCATCTTTGCCACTGTCTGAAACTAAGATTCTTGTTTAATAATAAACTCTTGGTGTCTTTCTGAAGATTTTAATTTTACAATTATTGAATATTTATTTTAATTATTCTGAATAGTTGGGGGTTGGTGCAGTGGTGATGCTATCTCCAGCGTTGAAAGATTTGACCCGCAAACGCATGAATGGCGGATGGTTGCACCCATGAGTAAACGACGTTGTGGCGTGGGTGTTGCCGTTGTTGATGATCTCTTATATGCTGTCGGCGGACATGATGGTTCATCATATCTCAACAGTATTGAGAGGTAAGTTCGTAAGAGCAAAGGTTGCTTATAATAACATGTGATCTCATCTTTTCTTCACAGTAAGTACATTGTGATGTTCTTCATTTGTGTACAACTCTGTATTGAACTGTGGAATGCTACAATATACTGCTTAAATTTTGGAAAGCTGAATTTTGGGTTTCTGGAAAATGTGAATTGTAGTGAAGAAAGTCTTCCCAGCAAATGTTGAATTATTCAATTGTACACATTTCTAGTAGCATAACTGAGCAGTTGGAATTAGACTTGAAAAAAATAATTCTGGTCAGTGTGCACACCAACAAAATAATACAAGGCGATTGTTTTTTCACTTCTTTCAACACTGCATAACGATGAACTGATTAAATCTGCAGAATTTTTGCACTATCAAATATTTTTTGCAAACAATGTATCACGCCTAAGCTGCTTTTAGTGAGAATATAGATGGTAGGTCTAGTCATAGTGTTCTTCCAAGTAGACATTCAAACTTTGAGGCTAATGATTTGTTTTTAATCAAATTTCTCATTCTGTTTTTGGTTTCATTAGGCACATCAAGTACAAATTTATGCAATAAAGGTTTTTTAATAAAATTTATATGT